ATCTGGGAACAGTGATCACAGGTCAACTACAGAAACCATCACTGAGAACATGAGGGGCTACATGCTGACAGCCGTCAGAGACACACAGGAAAGGTGTCCATAAGGAATACGTGTCATTAGTATTGAATAAACAGACAAACACGGATGCTGTGATATTGCGGACAGACTCATACGAAATCCAGTCCTTATATGAAAACACAGAAACTGAAACTGTGTGGTAACTACAGGGAATCAAGTGTAACTGAAACAAATCTGCCAATGTAACACAAACATCTTTATTATTATTTCAAATTATTCACATTTATTATGGTTATGCTATTCTTACTATTAATTATTACTAGTCACCGCCTAACAGGTGCACAGTTATCATAGTTTGTAGTCTAAGGTTACATTTCAGTTCATAATCGTTTCTGGCCACTTGGTCCATTTCTCTATTTTCTCTGGGGTGGAACCTTCTTAACGCTACGTCATTCGTAAGTTCTACCTTAAGTTGTCTCTTAACACTCTGGCATGTTTCCCGAAACGTTCTTAGTTAAGTGTATCTTCCATAAAATATTCTTTCCTAAGGTTGGATCTGAGCCTCTCTTATCACTGTTGTAGGCTCATACTGCTCATTTAAAATAAGACCAACATAGTTAAGGGTGCAGTTTCATAACCAAACATCACTTAACTAAAAAATAACTGATCCATATCATAAAATGATTTTGCCTGATACATGACTAAAATCTCTGTTAGGTTTCATCCTTGCTCTCTGAATTTTCAGCAAATTGGTCTCAGTGACACGTGGATTCATAATGAGAGATAAGGATGTATTTATTTTTTATTTATTTTTTGGGAAGGGGGGGTGTTTTGCCGATATTAACGTGGACACTTTTCCCCTATTTCTGACACCGCTGCAATGCACACACCTCTCTAAATCTGCCAAAGTCAAAGTATATGAAAAACTTGATACGAGTCGACACTGCAGGTTCATTTACATATTTGTCTAATATATTTTTCACAAAAAACACCCTGGAATAATTCTTAGTAGTCAGTACTGAAGCACATAGGACATTCTCTTATGTGAAGACAGTAACGCAACTTTTCTTTTGGCTATTGGGCCATTGCTCCTCCATATATCAATGACATGCACACATATTGGTGCCTACAGGTGTTTTATAGAACAAAGAAAAATAAACTGCTGATACTACATTCTGGGGAGGCAGGTTTGTGCATCTAATCGGCAAAAATCACACTTACACTTAGATGATACAATTTGTTAATTTTGTATTTTATTTTTAGCTTCTCCCCAATTCTGATTAATGCAATATTTTCAAGGATTCCAGCAGTGTTAAATTTATAAAGAACACCACATTCTCCCATGCGACAGTCAAGCAGCTTCTGCATGGAGGTGATAACGAATTCTCAAGCTATCAATGTCAACCAATCAGGTGTTCTGGTGCCTATTAAGGTCGCTCTCCCTTAAGCAATCTCTTAAGAGCATGTTCAGGAAACAGATTTAGGAAAAGATATACCTTTCATAAGATATATCTTCAGAGTCTTCGTAAGATGCAACGAGTCATCATTATCGGGAAACACACCCCTGATCTTTAGCTAGGTACAGAGCCATTTTAAAATGGGCTTGACCTCATTGGTCTTTCTATCTATCTGAAGGCTGGAAAAGTGCTGGTGTGACCACAAACTAGGCAGCAGAGCCAGGAAATGAAGCAGACTGGTGACATACATGCTCCCATCTCCATCCAGTGGATACTCTCATTGTCATACTTCTGTAATCTCATTCCTCTATAAAATCATGTGATTTAACAATACTGACATATTTCTGCTGCTGGTCAGCTTCCTCTCTTCCAGTTGGGCTCAGGAAGTAAATTTCACTGAACAAAAAAGATTATAAAAAGTTCTAGTTTATTTTAATGCAAATTTCTGACACTTTTAGAATTTTGGGACCTACTTTTTCTACACTCCATGAATGTTGAATTTTGAATGGAAACACATTTCAGTGTATTTAATGTAACTGATGTTACTAATGGTGAGAGTGTGGAGGTGAGTGAAGATTACCTTACCTGTTTGCTTCAGGGCCGCGGTCATGCTGGTGGACAATGGAGCTGACAGGAACAGAGAAACGTGCAGATGGGAAACATAAAGCTCACATCTCTAAGGTAAAACATTTCCAGTTTGTGACGACTGAACCAAACATAAAGCTTTACAGAGACAGATGAGTAATGGCAGGGTCAACTGCAATATGTACTATTCTGACAAAGAACACGCAGGTACCTGTAGGCTGTGTCTCCTGATTATACACAGTGGTGCCAGGTGGGGGCGCTGTGGAGTGAGATGCAGTAGAGGGGGTAGTTTGGGGAGTGGTGGTAGGAGTTGTGGTAGGAGCTGTATGGTGAAAGAGGGAGTCTGTCACACGTCTGTTATCACCTTCAGGGATCCTTTTTTGCCTTAACTATAGTAAACAGTAACATTCACCCATCTTCTGAAACCATTTATCCTATACATAGTCACAGGGGGTCCAGAGCCTACAGGCACAAAGCAGGGAAGAACCCAGGATGGGGCTCCAACCCATTGCAGGGCACAAAGCAGGGAACAACCCAGGATGGGGCTCCAACCCATTGCAGGGCACAAAGCAGGGAACAACCCAGGATGGGGCTCCAACTCATTGCAGGGCAC